TTACATATCCGCTTTATGGAGTTAATGGCTACCCTCCCATTAACCGCAGAAATTTTGATTGGTTGGAACTCGTAATGCAGTGGTAAATGCCATTTTACCAGCCTTTCCATTTTTGCAAAACTTTTGAATAGTTAAGGAATAGGAAGAATGAAACAGAAAATGCTAGCAATTTCGATTGTAATGCCATTGCATTAAGTCAGTGGGGTCATTATCGATTTGTGCGTGGACTGTTATTTGTAGCTTACTTCGCTTTAGTCATAAATGCTCAAATTAGTGAAGGGCGTAGATGATCATCTCGGTCCTGTCATCACTGAATGGTATCGGACAATAAGTAATCAGTCACCTCATTCTTTGCCCAAAACGAAGACCGCCAGTGCCGCCAGTGCATTTCTTTTTCATGGGTCATATATCATCGGTAAAAATTTGGTTTCTCTTAGCCATGTGGGCGGTACTTCGCTCGCATGGCGAAGAGAAACAAAAAACTGATCAAAAACGTATAAAAGAAGGCAATTTTGTTGAGTGTGATGGCTATGGTTGCATTTGTTATTTCAAAGGTCGTTGAGCAATCGAATAATACATTATTTATTTTACTTTCAGTTTAAGGACTGCTGAACCGACGCCTGCAGTGACCCGGGTTCAGGTGGTTGATCTCGTCGTCCCTCCTCTTATCATTGAAAATCCTGTCGATGATAGCACGCTGCTACAGGAAAACAGCCAAATAGTTGATGAAAGTGAGTTTGTTTCAAGTCAATCTAGAATTCGATCCCTCTGGTAATGAAAGATTCTCCTAAATAATGCATCTTCGGCGTCACCAGAGTTTTTAGACGCTAGCGAATGAGTGATTTCTTTTAGTAATAAAGTGTGATGATCATAGATGGTAATAAGTGATAAGTAGCTGGGAACGACAATTCATCGCTTTTCACCCGTTAATGTGAATGTTTTCAATGCAAACACTCTGGACCCTCGTTTGCAGTAGCTTCTCACCCTTCCAAGAGGTTCGTTATGACCTAAATTCGGTGGACGAGTTATCCTTATAAGATTGAAATGAATTTGTAAAATGTAATCCATCGATTCATTCATCCAGATGATTTACTCATTCTGATGATTCACAGTCGTATTTTCAGACGCAGCCGATGATATAGAAAGTCCATCATATTTGACTGAGCCCAGTTCGATGGATGGCAGTATTGTTCCTGAAGGATATGTAGGCATAGAAGCAAAGGCAAGATTTCTTCTTCCTTATTGTGTATATAAATGAGTATAAATAGTATATATGCTTATATATAGTACTAATTCGAATACTGTAAGGTAGTTCTCGCGTAAAAGCGAAGCACTGATTTCGACCGACAGCCCTAGGCCCAGTGAAATTTAGCATTTTCGTAGTACCGTTCGTTCAATCATGCTGCTAATTCACTTTCGACAATCTTTATAAGAGTCTCCGAATTCGTCCATATCACTTCCCAAAGTTAATGTCCTCATCGTTTTTTTTCGATCCATCATGAACAATTCAGTTTTCCTCGAACAAATCCTAACCATCTCAAAACCTCCCGCTTTTACCTACTTTTCCTCCGAAATTCTTATGAGATAGCAATTTTTTATTGCCTTGCAACCCAGCACCTAATCACATCCAGGATCTCACGCAAACTGAGCCCACGTCAGTGCTTACTTGCCCGACCTGAATAACTCCCTGCCTGGATGCCTCTGCGAACCATCTCCATTTTACTTGAACCTCGAGACAG